GTAAATTCAGTTTGTTTATAACATGCCCTCCAATGGTAGGGTGGGGCCACAATAAGGAATCAGATGGAAATATATAGAAAAAAAATCTTCTCAAAAACAGCAAAGCCATGATCAGTAATATTGATAAGTATCCTCAGGTATGTTAGAATTCAAATTTGTTAAAATCATGACCTTTGGTATAGTTAGGGCCACAATGGTTGAACGAAGTTTTACCATGGAATATATTGGACCAAGAACAACAAAACCATGATTCATCATATTGTTATCGAAGCAATCTCAGGTAGTGTGGGTTTAAGTTTGCTCCAAATATCACTCCCGGGAGTAAGGTGGGGGCACAGTTGGAGATCATGGTTTAACATAAGAATATGCAAGACAAACTATTGAAAAATTTTCTCAAAAACGGCAAAGCCAAGATTGGTCATATTGACATGGGAGTATCCTCAGGTAGTACATAACCCCATGGGGGTAGTGTGAGGCCACAAAGGAAATCAAAGTTTTATATAGGAATATATAGTGAAAAATCTGCCGATGAGGAAGAACAAAGCCTTGTTGACTCAGATGAGAGTTGTGGTCCATTCTTCTTTTTTCTTTCCTTTTTCCCTTCTCATCTTTCTTTCTGTGTTTGCATAAGCAGAGTTCATGTAGGGAAATGTGAGTTTGTTTATGCGCTTGTCTGAACAATTAGTACACCAAAAACCAAAAAAAAAGTATCAAACTTGACTCACTGATTGTGAAAAGAGGGCATGCATGTATGTCTTAACTCTTTTAAATTCGTGCAAACATTGCAAATACTTTACTTTTTTTTTTTTTAATCTCAAACTGTTCTTTTGATTACTTCTACTTTTTGTTCTTTTTTCATCCATTCAGTATGTAGTCCAAATGTAAAAAAAAAATATGTTAATAAATTATTGTAAAATTCGATTAAACCAAAGTTTTTATTTTTTCAATTCTTTTTTAGCTAAAGTGAGCTAAAGATATCGATTTTTTTCCGTCGTTCTTGTTGGCATTGTCATTAACTTTTCGCAATGTCACTTCTTCTCAAAAACTACTGGGTTAATTTCAAAGCAAACAAACTATCTCGGCACAGATTATTCTGGGTTAAAGGGAACTCAAGCTAGCTCAAGTTAGTTAGGAGAGCTGCATCATTTTTAAGGAAAGATAATTAAGAATTCTTAGAAAAATAATGAAATCTATTAATAGTCTTTTTGGAAAAAACTACTAGACAAGAAACCATAAAACAAGAAATCATCCTGGCAGAGTGAAGAGAGAATTTTGTTCAAATAATGACCTTTTAAAGTAAGACAGGACAACAATAGTAGTCGAACGTTTCAAAATATAAAGAGGAAAAAATCTTTCCAAAAATCTTTCACAGAATAACAGACTTCTTTCTGTTAATTAATGTGGAAGTATTCTTGGAAAGTACAAATAGAGAGATCTAAATCAAGTCCAAGTGAGGGGATATAAATATTTTGCTTAGGAAGATATGTATTTAGGAATTTTCAAAAGAAAACTACGAGGGCATAATTATTTGACTCTTTTTAAAATCTCTAGCTTTTGCATATTCAATAATGGAGGAGCTTTGAACTGCTTTTTAACAAGAAAATCTCTCTCTCTCTCTCTCTCTCTCTCTCTCTCTGTATGTGTGTGTGTTTTAAAAATATAAAACCCTGTTTTATATATCGTTTAAATATTAAGATGATACATGTACATTTCAAATGGTTACGGAAATAGTACTACAATATTTCATCGTATAAGAACAAGCGATATGTTCTCCATTTTCTATTTCAAGTTTTAACACTGTGTCTGAAAATTTACAAATACAATTATCACAAATGTTCTCTTAATTAATTGCTTTTTAGGATTGGGTCAAAATCATCTTTTAAAATTAGCTCGAATTCGTGTGGAAACAATCTAAAATATTTGATTCATTATTTCTTCTCAAGTAATACAGACTGGGATTAGAGTTTTGCTTCGATCAGAGTACTTTTCATCCTATGCATATTTACTTCTGCATATCTAAACAACAAGGTCAATGCCAAATTAGTCATTATTATATCAAAGCACCCCAAGATGATTTTATATAAGTTGGGTATTAAATTTTTTTTTGGGCCGAGACTTTTCATACTTTGTTTTCACATACTTGTAACACTTACTGTATTTCATGTTTTATGTTATATACAACCATTCCCAACGATAAATTAAAGTCCAGGCTTTTTGACATCAATGACAGCTGCTTTTTCAGTAAAAATGGAACTCGTAAACTTATTTACCTTGTCATTTGTCATTTGCAGAATTATTTTGTTAAAAAAAAACTTTCTGATTGTACACGTAAGTACTCTAAAGTTAATATTAAAAAGATGCTTGGTTTTCTGATTGACAATATGTATGTGGTTTTTGGAGACCAGGTCTTTCAACAATCTATTGAATTCCCATGGGTACCAATTGCGCCCTGTTGTTAGCAGACCTATTTTTGTATTCATATGAAGCAGACGTTGTTCAAAATCTTATACGTGAAAAGAAGAAAACAATTGCTGTGGCTTCAACTCGATTACATATACCGACGACTTACTGTCAATTAACAGTTGTTATTTCCATTCATATATCGATACGATATATCCCAGTGAGCTTGAAATAAAAGATTTCACAGGGTATGACACATCTGTTTCATATCTGGATATTTTACAAGAAAAATACATTAATGGTAATCTAACAACCAAGCTTTATGATAAATGTGATGACTTTTAACTTATCAATCGTCAACTTCACTTACTTCTGAGTAACGAGGTAGGTTATTGACAAACAAGTTGTTGAAACAAGAATATCAGCAGTCTCGTTTAAAATCATCATTTCGTAAGTTTTATGGTCGATACAATGGCCTTGTCTGCAAATACAATCTATCATTGAGTCAAATGCTGACTGACGTTTTTCATACTAATTGTTAGGGTATTATTTACACACTGAACTCTGTCAACGGATTTTCCGGGTTTTGTTTCCCGATCATGACAAGGAGAACACCGCAGGTGTGACTGGTCGGCAGGGGATGCTTACTCCTCAATGGCACCTTATCCCGCCTTTAATCTTTGAGGTCAGTGTTTACTCTGCTCCAAATTTGTATCGTTTCATTGGACTTTTGGGATTGAATACTGTTCGTTATCTTCATATTTCATTATCACTAATTACTCACGACCAAGCAGTAAATCGTACACTGTCATATTCTCTCAAAATAGCGTAATTATACATGTCACAGATGTTGTGTTTTAATTTGTACATAAAATTTGCGCGCATTGCCAATCGAATGCGTTCGCTGCGTTTGTTTGTATTGTGTGTCTAGTGTGAATGTTTTGGGAGATCATGTGACATTGTTTATTTTTGTATTTCCACGTGTTACCGGTTAGGTGACCTAATGTGACCTTACAGCTGACCAATAACCGACTGTTTTATCTTATTAATATGCATGTTTTAATTTCTGCACCGAGTATTTAAGCACAGTACCCGCCAATTCTCAACCCCCACGCTTTTTGCCTTTACGGTAGAAGTCTTACATATATTTGAAACATAGAAGTATTCTGTAAAGTATTACTTGGAGTTAATTTAACTGGATTCTTGGTAAGCTTTCTGTTTACCTTTATTATAATTATTATATAAATGTATTTTATAATTTACTTTTATTAATTAATCCCGACAGCGAACAATCATATAATTTATGTGTTGTTAATGTCTGATGTTAAATGTAAAGTATTCGTTTTGTGTGTGTATTGTGTTGTGAGAGTGTGTTTAATTTATACTTTGTAGGTTTTTTGTTATAAGCACAGTAAATAAATATAGTTGTGCCGAATCCAGTGTTGGATTTTATCCTACAAAATACCAGGTGACAATGGCACCCAACGTTGGTTTGTGCTGAAATAAACCAGGGTCCAGGACTAGCTGCGAACGCTCAGGACCAAGCCAGTGTTTCTGTGACGTTTTGAAACAGCTAAAATCTTCAAGAATGAAATTCCGTCCAATTCAAGTAGGTCTACATATTTTTTTCTCGCTCTTCACTAGAGTACTTTAATTATTAGAAGAGAATACTGCTTGTTAAACAGTGCGGGGGAAACCATTCACTAAATTGGTGGGAACCGTAATATGCGTGTGTGGTGAACTGTACTCAGTCAGCTAACCGAACAATACCGGTTGTCCATTGTTTTGACCTATACTGTGAAGCGCAGCGCATGTATATCTCCTGTAGACGTTAGTGCGGTGGATCATTATCTCTGCAGATCGATTGTCAGTTGAGCTCATCAACGTCAACATTTAATAAAAATAAAAAAAAAAAAAACGAAAACAAAATCAAGTGTGCACAGCATTGTTTTGTGTTTGTCTATCTGTTTGTTCATATGTTTGTTTTTATGTATTTGTATTTGTTCTGTTTTGTAATGTGTGTGAGTATACCGACCGGTGCTAGTGCGCAAGGTGCGAGAATTGAAGTGTGAAAGAGATCGGGCTCGATATTCCTGTAATTGTGACGTCACGGTTTGTTTCGTTTTGCACTTTCGTAATACAGAAAAACGTGTTTTTGTCAGGTATTTCTGTTTGATCAATTGTTTTTTTGTGTTTATTTATTGTCAATTTGAACGCGCTGTCGATTTCATCGTGCATTGTGTTGTTCATTACTATGTGTTGTCTACTGTCAATATCTTTTCTGATTTTTCGTTGAATGTTGTACATGTTTGTGTTCAACGTGCCTCCCTCTCCCTATCCCATTTTCCCTCTGCGCACAGCGACAATAACTTTACAGGTATTACTAATCCATCAACTGCACGTCATGGACTCTTGGACAGCTTGGACTGACAATCAGGTATTTGCGTTCTCAATTATCAATGTCACTGTGTACAGGTATATATTTTGAGTCTGCATGTGGGTGATAGTGTGTATGTGCATCTTGTTGATAAATGCGCAACGCGTTATTTGCTTTCATTTTGCTGGAAATTAGTTTTCATTATTTGCAATTTGAAATCAAAATGTCAAATACTGCAGGAGCAAAAGATGATAAGGGTAAGAAGGAATTGCAAGATATCATTGATCAAATTAACAGTGAACAACATTTGAGAGTTTTGACAAAAGAAGAGTATGACAGATTAATCAATAAGGAACCCCCTACAGGTGTTACATTTCAACATCTCCCCACTAGTACACCTAAGGTTCAACTCAACTTTGGTGAAGGAGCTATTCCTAAATTTAGATCCAAAGAATCTTTACTTTCACCAAGGTATTTTAGCCCATCTGCTCTGTATCAGAACCCAAATTCTACTCTGTGTCAAATTCTCAACCCTAACTCTGTTAAACTTCCCACATTTAGTGGAAGTGAACCACTGCAAAAAGGTGAAATAAGTTTTGATGTGTGGTCTTATGAAGTTAGGTGTTTGAAAAATCAATTACCTGAACATGTTCTGTTACATTCTGTTAGAAGTTCTTTAAAAGGGTTAGTCAGAGAGATGCTAATTCCTTTCGGAGAGTTTGCTAGTGTCGACAACATCCTAATGAAGCTGGAAGACTTTTATGGAAATGTCAGCACTGCAGAGAACATCATGCAAAACTTCTACAGTGATCATCAAAAAGAAGGTGAGAGCATTGTAGCTTATGGTTCAAGATTAGAACAAACTGTTTCAAAAGCTGTTAGACTTGGACATGTAGATGTAGTAGCAAAAGATTCAAAGTTAAGATCAAAATTTTGGTCTGGATTGAGAAATCCCCAGTTGAGAAATGCTACTAGAAATAAATACGAAACTGTCAAAGAATTTCAGAGTCTGTTAAGGGAAGTTAGACAGATAGAGCAAGAAGAATTGAACTTAACTGTTGCTAAGCCAGTTCAGAATAGTGTTGTATCAACAAATGTTGAAGCACTAAATGTATCAAACTCTGATTTGCAAAAACCGCTCAGTGAACTACTCAGTCAAATGAAAAAGCTTGATGCTCGAATGAGTAAAATAGAACAAGATCAATAGAATTTAACTAATGCAGAATCTTTTCAGAGACATATGCCTCAAGACAATTCCAACGGTAACTTCAGAAACAGTTACCAAGGCAGAGGAAACAGAGGAAACTACTGGTACCAGAATTCAAGAGGAAGAGGAAATTTCTCACAGCAATATGGTAATAGAGGTTATGGTAAAGCCCAGAGAGGTAATGATTTAAACTAGCAGCATCTTCTGTTGCAGGGCGAACAGAAGATCAGTTTACTAAAAGCTCTACTATACCTCCTAATCAAGATCTATTGACCAGACTTGTAGGTACACCTAATGAAGCAGACATTACTGTGTTTGGTACCAAGACCAAGGTACTTATTGACTCGGGGGTCTATGGTCACATGTATTTCAGAATCTTTCTATGAATCTCTGAAACCTATGCCTGAACTGTTAAGTTTAACAAATTTTGGACTTAGTGTTCGAAGTGCCAATGGCAGCAAATTACCTAAAGGTTATATAGAGTTACAAATCAGTGTTCCTTCTATAAGTAACTTCTCATGCCACATTCCTGCCCTTGTTGTACCTGAAACAAATTATTCAAAGAATGTCCCAGTTATCATAGGTACTAACTTTATTCGTCTTTGCAGACAAAACTGTGAGATGATGGCACAGTCGTCGGACATACCAGACGAGTGGCAGTTGGCTTTCGAGAGCATGAACGATGAGACACTGGTCAGGACAACAAATAAGCATACCATAACAGTTGCTCCAAATGAGACCAAAGTCATTAGAGGTATTGTAAAAAATGTAAATGACATTGACTCTGCATTGACAGAGCAAACCAATACTAGTCTGTCTGGAGAGCTTGTCATATGTCATAGAGTTATTCCCCTTACCAAGGGTAAGCACACAGTTACCATTCCTGTTAGGGTGTGTAATCTTTCTGTCACATCTGTTCAGATACCTGCCAAATCACTTTTATGTTCTATTCATGGTGTAAAGGTAGTAGATTCTTGGTCTCCTGAATCTCAGAACTCAGGTAAGAAGCCCAGAAAATCTTTGGAGGATTTGAATTTACAGATTACTGAGGAAAACCTTACTCCAGATCAGGTAAGTGTAGCTAAAGACTTTCTAGGAAAATGGACACACTTATTTTCTGATGGCCCAACAGACATTGGCAAGACCAACCTATTAAAGCATGAGATCAAGTTGACTGATGAAACCCGATTTAAAGATGCCTACAGACGCATACCGCCAGGAATGTTGGAAGAAGTTCGACAACACATCAAGGAGATGTTGGATATTGGTCCCATAAGACCATCCCAGAGTCCATTCTCATCTAACATTGTCCTGGTCAGGAAGAAAGATGGCAGTCTTAGATTTTGTATTGATTATCGGAAGCTCAACACGTACCATCAAAGATGCTTACAACCTACCAAGAATAGATGACACCATAGACAGACTTATCGGATCCAAATACTTCTCAAAATTAGACTTAACAAGTTCCTATTGGCATGTGGAAATTGAAGAAAAAGACAAGGAAAATACAGCATTTTCAGTTAGTGGAATAGGCCATTTCGAATGCAACGAATGGGATTTGGACTAACGAATGCCCCAGCCACATTCCAACGGCTGATGGAACGCTGTATGGCTGAGTTAAATTTAAGAGACCGTTTAGTGTTTTTGGACGACATCTTAATATTCTCACAAACTTTTGACGAACATCTTGACAGACTGACTGCAGTGTTCAGAAGACTGGAAAAAAATTGTTTAAAACTTAAGGCTAAGAAGTGCGAGTTCTTTAAGCATAGCGTGACATACTTAGGCCATGTGGTAAGTGAGGAAGGTGTAGCCACCGATCCTGAGATGACCAAGGCAATTTCAACCTGGCCGAGACCTTACAACATCAAGACTCTCAGGACATTCCTCGGTTTTGCAGGTTACTACAGGAGATATGTCCAGAACTATTCCAAAGTGATGAAACCATTAAACGACTTACTGAAAGGACATCTTACAAATAAACAGATTAAAGGTAAGACAAAGAACAAACCAACTCCATGGAAATGGGAAGACCAGGAAGAGAGAGCTTTTCAGGACATTAAAGGTAAGTTAACATCCCCACCGATCCTTGCATTTGCAAATTTTGAAGCACCATTCTTTCTCCACACCGACGCATCAACAACTGTTACAGGACTTGGAGCTGTCCTCTACCAAGACCAGAATGGACAGAAGAGAGTGATTGCATACGCCAGCAGGGGACTCAAAAACAGCGAAAGACATTACCCAGCCCACAAGTTGGAATTTCTCTCCTTGAAGTGGGCAGTTACGGAAAAGTTCCACGATTACCTTTATGGGAATACCTTCCAGGTTGTAACGGACAATAATCCCCTTACTTATATTCTTACCTCTGCAAAGCTGGATGCAATAGGTCATAGATGGCTAGCTGCATTGAACAACTACAACTTTTCTTTACACTACCGAAAAGGAGCCAATAACAGTGATGCAAATGGTTTATCGAGAAGACCCCAGGACACTGAAGAGATAGTTCCAGAAATGGTGAAGACAATTTGTAATTCCTACACTATCCAGAGAGACAATTGTCCACTGGTGGAAAATGTACTTCTACCCGTCAACATTCCAGCATGTATGTCAGTGAGTTTACAAGACATTGGGGAAGCAGGTAACATTTCAAATATATCAGAACCCCTCACCCCTATCCCTGACTCCATTGAGATAGAAGATTCATGTGTATTCAGTAATATTGACTGGGCAAAAGAACAATCATCTGACAAGGTCATTAAAAGAGTTATAGAATTATTGCAAGGTGACTTTGTTCCTCCAAATGCCGCCTTAAAAGCAGAATCTCCAGAAGTGAGTAAATTTATGAGAGAATCAAGAAAATTATGTCTAATTAATGGTATTTTATACCGAAACACTATACTGAATAATGAAAATGTAAAACAACTAGTATTACCAGCTTCTTTCAGAGAAATAGCATTCCATCTACTGCATAGCAATTTAGGGCACCATGGCCGAGACAGAACTCTGCAACTGATAAGGGAAAGATTTTACTGGCCTGGTCTCGAGCACGACATTACGGAAAGCATCAAAACCTGCGACAGGTGTATAAAATTTAAAACGGAAAGCATCAAAACCTGCGACAGGTGTATAAAATTTAAAACCCCAGAGAAAGTCTCAACAGAACTTGTCAACATCAAATCATACCAATCTTTAGATCTATTATGCATTGATTATTTAACTCTGGAAAAAAGCAAAGGTGGTTATGAAAACGCCCTAGTAATCACTGATCATTTTACCAGATATGCCCAAGCTTTTCCCACTCGTAATCAAACTGCTAAGACCACTGCTAGAATTCTATTTGAAAATTTTATTGTACACTATGGCTTTCCCAACAGACTTCACAGCGACCAGTGTCGGAATTTTACCAGTCATGTCATCAGGGAGCTGTGTAAACTAGCTGGAGTACAACAGTCACGTACCACGCCCTACCACCCTATGGGTAATGGGATGGTAGAACGGTTCAACCAAACCCTACTTAAAATGCTCGGTACGCTGAACGACAAACAGAAAGAGGACTGCAAGTCATATGTTAGTACCTTAGTTCATGCGTACAATGTAACCAAACATGACAGTACGGGTTTTTCGCCATTTTTCCTCATGTTTGGGCGACATCCGCGCCTATCTATTGACGCATATTTAGGCTTGGATATCGATTCTACCGAGAAGCCTAACAGTCATGCCAATTACTCTAAGAAGCTTCATAAACGATTAGAATATGCATACAAAATTGCTTCTCGGGAAGCTGAAAAGAGTAGTGCACGATACAAATCTAACTATGATACAAGAGTAAGACATTCAAAAATACAGGTCGGTGACCGTATTTTGGTAAGAAATGTTGGGTTGAAAGGAAAAAACAAACTGGCAGATAAGTGGGCCAAAGACACTTACATTGTAATAGGTCAACCCAACATTGATATTCCAGTTTACAGAGTTAAAAAAGAGTTTGGGTCAGAAAAGGTGAAAACATTGCATAGAAATATGTTAATACCGATCTCATATCTCCCCAGGGTAGCTGATACAGAGCAACCCAATCCTAAGAGTAGGACTACCCCTGCCCCTGAGCAAACCATTCCTAAGAGTAGTTATAGGACTACCCCTGCCCCTGAGCAGACCACCCCTAATCAGATCATTCCTGATCAAGGTTTTAAGACTACTCCTGATATGACACTCCCCAAGGTGAGTCCCACTTCTGATATTGTTGATACATTGTCTGACTCGTCAACTTCTGATTCAGAATCATCAGATAGCTCCCAGGTATATGTGATTCCTCAGAGGAGGGTAAGGCCTGGCATTGTTCGTTTGAAAACTCCTAGTACAATAAAGGATTCTCATGGTTTTCAGGACACTATGTCTACATCTGATCCCAGTGCTGCATTTACAGGTAATTCAACTTTGAATCGTAATGCAAAATTTAGTAATACTATTTCCTTTGTAAATAGTCCAGCTGCTGTACCCCCTCGTAGATCAACCAGACAGGTAAGACCCCCAGACAAGTATGGCGAGTGGGTTTCACATCAGATTAATCCAGTGGTCTATTTTGTGTGAGTAACTTTTCCATTGTTCAGGGGAGAATGTCACATGAAATGATATTCTTCAATTTGGTTTTTATAACGTTTCTTGAGTATATAGGATGATGGTCTTCATTTTGGTTTTTATGACAATTCTTTTGTATATAGGAATTTGTATATTTTTGTGTTTTATTAACGTTAATCTGATATTTATAAAATGTCAGGAGCCATTTTCCCAAGCAGGGGAGAATGTCACAGATGTTGTGTTTTAATTTATACATAAAATTTGCGCGCATTGCCAATCGAATGCGTTCGCTGCGTTTGTTTGTGTTGTGTGTCTAGTGTGAATGTTTTGGGAGATCATGTGACATTGTTTATTTTTGTATTTCCACGTGTTTCCGGTTAGGTGACCTATGTGACCTTACAGCTGACCAATAACCGGCTGTTTTA